CATTTTTCTGATTTTCAAAAAAATGTTTGCAGGAGAGCAAGAATGGATGGTGGAGAGTGAAGAGAAAACCAGGTGGTGAGTAAAGAGGAGAGGAGGTGGTGCATGAACAGAAAAAGGGGGGGGCGGTGTAGCTTTATATAGACAGGAAGGAGATTAGAAGGATCAGATGTACTGAGAGATAAGTATTTGTATTGCAGATAAAACTGACCAGATAGGGTATAGGTTTTAGGGCTTATTACTAAATTCTTATCTTTTATACCATGGTCCTTCCTTTTATTTTTCTCTAATTAATTATCTTTCCTTTTATTTTCCTAATTTATTGCTTCTATTTTCTTTGTTTATTCCTTCACCTATGTATTTCATTATTGTTTACATTTTCTTAAATTTGTAGTCAACATCTTTAACTCTACAGTCTCTTTTCTTTCTTCACCTTTTTTCCTACTTTCAATTACTCTCTTTTAATTTTTCTCCTATTAGTGTTTAATTCATTTACTGATTTTATTCATAATCTTATATTTTTTACATTTGCACATGGCATGAGTGATCGAAAATACTTTCCAAAGCACAGCTGATTATGGTTTGACAGTCTGAGAAGTACAGGTGGTGCAGAGCTGATCATGGTTTGACATTCTGAGAAATACAAGCTGGGCAGATCTGATCACGCGCACAGTATGAGAAATACCACCCACAGCGGTCTCTGCACCGTACGCTCCTTATCAGATAGATAGCGCGCCGAGAGATCGTTGCGCAGTACATATAGATTATTATTACTGGTACTTCAGCCAAATCCTCGGTCAGGACAAAGGCAAACTCGGGAATGGGGTTGGAAAAATGGGCCCTATCCCTCCTCACCGGTACTGGACAGCTAGGCAAAAAGTAGGTTTATTTAGTGATGCATCCGGGGGATTCCTTTGGATCGAGTGATGGAGTTGCTGAACGCACGCCGTGCTTACTCCGATGGCGCAGTGCATTTTTATTAAGGTCGAATGTCTCCCCGACTCCCCATTGAAGCTGTCCCCTCGTTCCCTTAGTCTAAGGCCCGACCATCCCTTCCCTTTTTCCCGAATTTCACATTGTTTTAGCACGCGGACTAACCAATTAGTGCCGATTTAGCCACCATCCACAACAGTGAACCATTCCCGATTGATCAATTCTTTTTGGGTCAAGTCCACAATCCATAAAACTAGTCTGTTCGGGTAACCATGACCACACCTACTGCTATAGCTCTACATTTTGTTGTTTCTGTCACAGTCATGATGAGTAGTGCATAATGTGAGGTATGCTCAGCACTACAACTTCAGAGGCCTACCGCAGTTTTTTCCATCCCGATTCTCATAACAGGTTAGTGATTTGAATTGCGATCTGGACCAGAAAGTCACATTTTTCAGGAATGCTCTAATCAGTTTCAAGCAATGCTATGCTTTTACTGTCGCCCTCATGGTCTTGGCTACCCACAAATATGATAATTTGAAAACATGGTAAGGGATAAGCCCAATCAATGGAATCTGTGGTAGACGCATGACCGTGGCAGAGTGGCAACTCTATGATTGGCGGAGCAGGAGGAATTTTACTCCTATCATATTCGGTGTGGCGATTTGACCTTAAAACGCGGTTTCACGTGACCATTTCCTCCTTTTTCGCAGTATCATACTCGTGCCAGTACGAGCGCGAGTGCAGTAGTCTACTGTACTGTACTAGTAATTACCACACACTATTGGCTGGAAACTCCTCGTAGCTGGCGATGGCAACAATCCTAATAACTCAAGAAAGCTCCTGGGAGCAGTGCGAGCACTGACAGTCCGCAATTGCCGTGGCAAATAAACAGGGCGAAGTGTGATAAATCGGTGGACCGGTATCTGTGGCCTGGTGCCCGGTACTCGAGTAGAGGTCTCTCCCCGGCCTTTTCTGGCCGGAGTGCGAGGAGCATCGTTTCTCGGCCCGGGTAAGCCCGGCATAGGGGTATCCCTGTACCAGCAGACCCCTTGTTGTCCTGCCCAAGCTTTCTCCTTATCGTACTTGGACCTGCAACATAGGGCAAGGAGCGTCACACGGGTGCTTGCCTCCATTTATTTTCCACCGCCGATATATATTCTCCTGATTTCACCACCCGAGTGTTAGCATTGGATCATCTATCAGCAAATTCTAGTAGCTCAAACTATGAACGAATCAACCATCTCGGGGGATCTCCCTACGACCGAGCTTGCTCGCTGGCGTCTCAAAACCGAGGATGGTCGTCAAACATGGCATTACCTTAAGACTGACGAGGAAGTTGCCGCATGGCCTCAGTCCGCGGCCGATAAATACCATCTCGGTCTCCCAACTGTGTGGCTCATGCTCTTTCTCCCCCTTTTTCATCATTGGTAGCTGATGTGTGTGTAGGGCCTCCCTACCCTACCAACTCCAGGTACACCCTTGGATGCTGCACGAAATGGCCTGTCCTTTTTCTCCCAGCTTCAACTTTCGGAGGGGCAATGGGCGTCTGAGTACGGTGGCCCAATGTTTCTTCTACCGGCCACTATGATTGCCTACTTTGTTACGAATAGCGAGATCCCGGGGGAATGGAGGATCGAGATACAGCGCTATCTTGCTGCTCGGGCAAACCCCGAGGATGGGGGTTGGGGATTGCACATTGAGGGTGAATCAACTGTTTTTGGTACCGCTCTCAACTACGCCGTTCTTCGTATCGTTGGTATGTCGCCGGATCACCCCGTTTGTGTCAAGGCGCGGAAGACCCTTCACGCTCTAGGAGGAGCCCTGCAAACTCCACTGTGGGGGAAGGTCCTGTTATCGTTGATGGGATGCTACAAGTGGGAGGGTGTGAACCCGATCCCGCCGGAGATGTGGCTACTACCGGATTGGGTGCCGTTTCATCCTGGGAGATGGTGGGTACATTGTCGCCAAGTCTTCTTGCCCATGTCCTACCTCTACTCGTTGAAGAAGGCTCGGCCCGTTGATGATGTTACAATCGCCCTCCGGAAGGAACTTTATGTTGAATCTTATGATTCGATTGACTTCTCCCTGCACAGGAACACGGTTGCACCGGGGGACATCTACCATCCGCATACCAAGGTCTTGGATGCAATGAATTGGATCTTGACTGTATGGGGTAAATGGATTTGCCCCGACAAACTGCAGGAGATTGCTCGCGATCACGTCTACAGACTCATTAAGCTCGAGGACGAGAATTCCGACTATTGCTGCGTCGGGCCTGTGAACAACCCCATGAACCTGGTTGCACGTTACTTTACGGAAGGCGAGAGTCATGCTGTGAATATGCACCGGGAGACAATCAAGGACTTTTTATGGATGAAGAACGAGGGGATGCTGGCCAATGGCACTGATGGTGTACAATGCTGGGATACAAGCTTTCTCATTCAGGGTGTTGTCGAATGCGGGTTCGGTGGAGATCCCCGGTATAGGGATATGCTTATTAAAGCATTGCAGTTTCTGGATACCCAGCAAATCAGGGAGGAGCCAAAGGAGAAGGATTTCAGTTATCGCCAGCAACGTAAGGGCGCCTGGCCATTCAGCAAGAGGAAGCAGGGATATACCGTCTCTGATACCACTGCCGAGGGGCTTAAATCAGTCCTTCTACTCCAAAGCGTCCCGTATAGTTTTCCCACCTTTAAATCCGGAAAAACAGAAGCTAACAATGATAACCATTAGTGGCATGCCAAAGTTGGTCTCTGACGAGCGACTTCAAGATAGCGCCAATGTTCTTCTCAGTATGCAGAATGCGAATGGTGCGTTCGCTAGCTACGAGCTTATTCGTGCTGGCCCATGGATGGAGGCTCTCAATGCCGCCGAGGTATTTGGCCGTATAATGGTGGAATATCCGTATCCTGAATGCTCAACTGCAGCCATTATGGGTCTTCAACAGTTCCTCAAGACCTATCCCAATCATCCACGAAGGACGAAGGTTGAGAATGTTGTTAGACGCACCGTCCAATATATCAAGGAGGCCCAGGAACCGGATGGAAGTTGGTACGGGAACTGGGGTATTTGTTTCACCTATGCTACCATGTTTGCCACCGAAGCCTTGAAGAGCGTAGGTGAGACCTGCGATAATAGTTCGGCTTTGAGGAAAGCGGTTGAGTTCTTGTTGAGCAAGCAACGGGATGACGGGGGATGGGGCGAGAGCTACAAGAGCTGTGAGACCGGTATTTATACCGAACATGAGGAGACCCAGGTCGTAAATACTGCTTGGGCGGTCATTGCTTTGATGAACGCCGGATATAAGGAGCGTGGGCCAATTGAACGGGGAATCAAGGTAAGCACACTGCTCTGCTGAGTTTTATCCGGTAGACTCTAATTTTTATAGTTGATCATGCGGCGCCAACAGCCGAATGGCGAATGGCTGCAGGAGGGGATTGAGGGTGTTTTTAACAAGAGCTGGTTAGTTCATCCTCAGTATTTTTCTTGGGTTGCTCTAGGCTAACCGTTATAGCATGATTTCGTACCCGAACTATAAGTTTACGTTCACTATCAAGGCGCTCGGAATTTATGCTAGGATCTTTGGCAATGAGGTTTGCTAGGCAAGCAGCTGCGGGATGCGGGGAAGGTAGCCTTGGGGAACAGTTGGATGCAATGGTCTGGTGGTATTGGAGGGCTACATCCCAGAGCTCGTACGCTTTGTGTGGACTAGCTATTTTACGAAGCTTTAATACGAAGGGTGAATTTCTCTTTTATTTTTATCGGACCCGATCCTTTGGGTTGGCTCAGTGTGGCTCCAGTGCTGGGGTAGGTTCAAGGTGTTTTCCTGTTGGGTTCTATATCGGCTTCAAGTTTGTAAGAGCAATTGTCTGGGAACAAGCACTGTAGGCTGTTGCCCTCCCTGACACGATTTGATCATTGGCCATTTCCACCGGCGATGCAAGGAAGGTATCATCATACTGCACCCGGATAGGCATCTCGTTGTAGCCACCGCCCCTGTTGCTCTCCATCATTCTCGACAGGGCCCTATGTCAAGCACGTATCATATAAGTTATATCCCACACACTAACCCTAAAAATAGTCCTCTCTCCGGATGTTATAATAATTGATATTATGGTATGATACTAGAGTAATTGTGTGGATAAATTGTCGGTTGCTTATCGACACCTCGAGTATCCAGGGCTCCTAGTGTCAATGATCGCGGCCCGGGAATTCTTGGCAGTTTGGACAATCCCTGATTCTTAAATCCAAGCTATCCACCCCTTTGCCCCGCCCTTGCCCATCCTCTTCCCAAAACGGTAGTACTGACGGTGGGTTCGGGACTTCGAACTCGAGATCCCCCGCCCCAGAAATGGCCGTTATATTATAAATGGATGGATTTTGGAGAGGGGGGGATGTCGGAAGCTTGAGGTAATTGCAGCTCCTTGCGATATGTTATTCGGTGCTGGGTTGGTTTTGCTCAATGCTGGGAGACGAATGTTTGTGCAGAGGGATTTACGCGGAGACTGGTTTTGAGCATGGTATAGTGTCATACCATTGTTACCTTTTTTCTTTTTCTTTCTGTGTGTGCCGTGGCCGCGCCATTTCTGGAAATTGACCTTCTCGATAGTTCTGGATAAGTCCAATACTATAGCTTTCGCACACTCGCCCGGGTAAGCCTGGCGGTGTTGGGGGTTGCGTGGATCCTACTGCTGTTTTGTGTCTGCAAGTTATTCATGTGCATCTTATGTTCAAGAAGGTTGGTGCCAGTCATAATGTTGGTATCATAGCACTGACACTGTTAGGTAGGGTAGCTTCAGTTTTGCAGAAAATTACTTCATGAGTTGCCCTCCTCTTCCTCTTCCTCCCTTCTACTTTTTTCAATCTTATATAATACTACCTGGTAATCACAAAACCACCCAGCAATACTTGTTAACTAACTTGGCCTAACAGGTATAAATGTACACCTTGGGAATATGATCCTAGCCTCTGGCAGGAACTACTTTGCCTGAGATTCATCTTTGGTTTTGCCACTGTAGTAGTAGTAATAGCATAAACTCTTGAAAATATACAAGAGAAAATAACACGCAAGGCTGTGAAAGCATTGTCCAGAGATATCAGTGGATTGGTACTGCGGATATTACAGAGTGGGAGAATGTGGATAGTAGTGACAAAGAGAGGGTGGTACTGCGGAGAGCGATGGTAGATTTGTGGGAAGGGTGAGAGGAGGGGCAACTGGGAGGGCCGCAACTGTCGGGTAGGAGGTTAGCCATGTGACTAGTCTTATAAAGTAAAAGAAGATGAAGGGGAATGGGAGACTGATTACTAGTCATAATATGCTTTTAGTAGTTTTATTATGGGATCGGATAAGGTGCATTAGATAATAAATAGATAAGAATTGCATTAACAGGTTGCATAAATTTATAGGATGTTATAAGTTAGCAGTCATATCTATTTGCTCATTTATCAGTTTGGTTGTATGGTTAACATATAAGTATTGTAAGCTACTGTATCTGCCGATGGCCGTGATCGGAGGGGTGTGTGTGTGTGAGTAATTCAAAAGGAGCTTCATGACTATTTAGCCACCAACCGGACTTTTGCATCTCCTTGCCCGGTTTATCACTCAGCAGTTTGTGAAAGGTTTCAGAACACAAGATGAAAAGTTGGATAAGATATTAGAAAAGCCGAAGAGCACAGAAAAGTTTGGAAAAACCGGAGCAAAAAAGAGAATAGGAGCAAGGGTCCCGAGAGGCCGAGCTGATTGATATTCTTGTTTTTCCTCTATTCCCACTCTTCCCCCTGCCTCCTTTCCATCTGCTCTCTTTCCCCTTCTGATCCCGATTTCTCCCCAATTTCCTTTTTTTTTTTTCCCTTTGTTCATTGTTACTTTCTTTCTTTCTTTCTTTTAGATTTCACCTGTTGTTTCAAAGGTGCCCATAGAATTAATTAATCGATTAATTTTTTTTCTTTCGGTCGTCATGCATAAAACTATCAGAGAAAACAATAGGGTATCGCTTCATCGGTTTTCGAGCACAGCGCTAACGCCTTGACTACGTGAACATTAAAAATTTCTTGTCACTCCTATCGATCGCCATTGGTAAGAAACACTGTTGGTTACTAAAAATTCGCAGGTGTGGTAAACTCTAGGATGCTCGTTACTACAGTACAGATACGCTGAGAACAAATGGGAACTGCAGCAAGAACTCAGAGCGTGCGCTGTCTTAGGCAATGGGGGGGGGTGGCGAAATTTCCTGAATTTCAGCAGTCCAAGAGATAATGGTTGCTACCATCTCTCCTAAACAGGTATCAGAGGAGCACAGTGAAAACCGGGATGGCTGAAGGGATACTTGTATCCTGCTATGCCTCAACCATGTCTTCTTTTCACCTCTGACTGAAGTCTCAACACCATGAGATTATCGTCACTTTCCCACCTCCCCTCCTGGACTTGGGGGGAGGGAGGGGGGGGGAGTCTTGCACCCTCCCTGCCCTCAAGGTCTTCTTGTTCCTCTTAGACTTTTCTTCCACTTGAGGTCTCAATTGATCTGCTTTACTCTCCTCCCTTCACCCCTCTTCTGTCCCCACCAGACACACCATTATCAACCACTTTTTCTCCCACTTCAGATGGCTGGGAATACAGCTCACGGTATGAGGGAACTATTCAATAGGCTACAGTCGATCCCTCTCCTCCCCTTGCCGGTAGACCGCATCGTCGGACATGAACGCGATTACCGATAGCCGTGGTTTTTGATCTCAGACGTGCCCCTCCGCTCTTCTACAACACTCGTGTGTCAGTTGGCTAGTTTTCCGCACATATTATATTATGATGCTCGTACCGTGCATATGTACTTCGGGGATTGGTACCTGCCGAGTGACAAGAGATGACTGGGATCACGTGTGATCTACGGTTGCTGAGCGAGTTTTATTGTAGGATATGGGCAATATGGAAAGGGCGGGGATAAAAGGGTTGTACTAGATTACCAATCCGCCAACAACCCCCCCCCCCCCTCCAAAAAAAAGAAAAGAGAGATCCCGCTAATATTTTGCAGATCTCATCCCTAATTGCATCGCCATCATCGCCAATCTCTAACCTTTTTACTCGTGCTCGTATCCCTGTTAGTAGTCTACGGTGTTAGTATCATATATATACCCAGTATTCCTCACCCTCCCTCCCCCCTCCCAACAGCATTCCACGCTATCATACCATACATTACAAAATGACCCAACCCTACACCTCCGCAACAGAATCCCACGAAGCCTCCATGCTCTCGCGAAAATTCGGCCAGGAGATTGTAAACTACTTCTCTAGCAGCCCGCTGAACCGTGTCTCCTTCCTGCGTTCAAACACCGCATTCCTGCGCGCCGCGCTCCCGCGCTCCAAGTTCCTGCTGCTGCGGGACCTGGAGCCACTCGCAGCGAGCAAGACCACACTCGCGTGGGTGGGGTACGAGACTGTGCGCACACTCGTTGGAAGCCCGTTCGACACCGAGCAGGAGGAGTTTTTGAGGGGGTATGATTCCAGGGTTGAGATTCCAACGTTGGTGTTTTTAGGGATAGATGAGGGGGTGGTAGGTGGTGGGCAAGGGAGTGGAGATGGGGAGAGGTTTGAATTTGAAGGGGAGGGGGGGAAATATGTTGGACGACCATGCTTCGCTTTGGACGTCACGGACAAGGGGAGCTTGGGAGAGGAGTGTAGGAAAGTGCAGGAGGAGGCGGTGGAGGGGGCGGAGGGGAGAGAGTTTAGGAAGGTCAAGTTGGATTTGAGCCTTGCCCCTCCGGATGGTCATATAACTTACCCCATTGCTATAGAAATCTGCAGGAGTGGGAAACTGACGTTGGTGCGGGTATAGCTGCGATATTTGCCCAGGCAAGAAGCCTCCTGGACTGGAATAATCGCAATCAAGTACGCCACCCCATCTCATTATATACCCTATAAAACACTACTAAAGCATCACAGTTCTGCTCCGCCTGCGGCGCCAGAACCGTCTCCACCAACGCCGGTACCAAGCGCACCTGCCCACCCTCCGACAAGGCACTTCAAAAGAATCCCGAGGATCCACCATTCGAGCGACCACCCTGCGTCTCCCGGAAAGGCATTCACAACATCGCAGTACTCCTCTCCCCACCCCCTTCCCTTCCCCTACACACTCCCGCTAATGTCCCTAGTTCCCACGCACTGACCCGACGGTAATAATGGCCATCATAAACTCGACCGGTGACAAAGTCCTCCTAGGCCGTCAGCGCCGCTGGCCAAAAGAGTCCCGCCCTCCCCCCCCATTCCGCACACCCTCACTCTAACATGAATCAGCTTCTATTCCACCCTCGCCGGCTTCTGCGAGCCCGCCGAGTCAGTAGAAGATGCCGTGCGCCGTGAGACCTGGGAAGAATCCGGCGTGCATGTGGGCCGCGTAGTAATCCACAGCACGCAGCCGTGGCCATACCCGGCGAGCCTAATGATGGGTGCGATCGGCGAGGCACGCCCGGACGGGGAGGGGATTGTCTTGAAGCATGATCCCGAGTTGGAGGATGCCCAGTGGGTGGAGTTTGGACAGGTTAGGAGGGCGCTCGAGGGGAACACTGGAACGCCGGAAGTGGAGGTTGAAGGGGCTGCCGAGGTTTGTCCTTCTTTAAGGGGTGTGAGGGAGAATGATGGAAGGAGGGGCTAATGTTGGCGTGCTTTTTGATTTCATTTGTAGGGACAGTTACGGCTTCCTCCGTCGACTGCCATCGCGCATCAATTGCTTCTTGCAGTGGTCAATGGGTTTCATCTGGCTAAGCCTTAGTTCTCATCTTGCACGAAACAGCACAGCATACACTATTATAGAGCACATCCCTTCACCTTCTTAAGAACAATGACACCATTTATTTACCTACGCCCTCTCCCCAATCCATCCATCACAGGCACTCACTCACCCTCCTTACCCAATCCCAATCACCAACCCCCCAAGAACTGGGGAGGTAAAGTATCATAATGAAAGGAAATTCGTTGATCATACAGGGAAGAAGCCAAGAATAGGGCAAATGGCGCCCAATGTACAGTAAAAAAGTGTCATCTGTCCCGTGCGAGAGTAGGTTAGTAAGGTGGAAAAGAGGAAAACTCCCGGGAATGAAATTAGGAAAATGAAAAACGCGAACCACCGACGCCCGCTCGTACCCATGCTAGCTGAGGTATCATCAAGGGATAAATAATGGATAAATGTGGCGAGAGGTGAGTGGAGAGAAAGAAAAAAGTTACAAATGGTATCAAATAGCAGTAAAGCAGCGCGACAAAGTGTTATGAAATAGAAGGCAATATCAAGCCGGAAAAACAAAAGCCCTAATACACTCCGTCAGAATCTTACATACTTCCCCCTCCCGGCTCTCCCTATTGTTGATTTTGTTAGAAATGTCAGCAAAAGGGCGAAGGTGAAAATAAAACAAGAAAAATTGACTTTTAAAAACGCGATTAAAAAGGGAGACCGCTGGCTAGGTGTTAGGAAATAGGCTGGAAACGAAGGACCCCGGGCGGGACCAGGTCGGACCAGTCCGTTACATGATGCGGGGAGCAAGAAAAGGTGAAGAAAAAAAGAAAAAAAGCGCCTTCGCCCCAATGTTCTACCTCAAATGCTTTTTGGTGCTAAATGGAAGGATATCAAGAAAATAAAAACAAAAGAGGAATAAAAGTAAGTGAAAATGTGCGATACAAGATGAGCACAACAGAAGATACATTTTACCACTCCTCACGCTGAGATCGGAGGTACTTCCTGGCCAACTCGTCGCCTCCCTGGGCAGACAGTTCCATCCAGTGATAAGCAACGCACATCGTCGCAGGATCCCGCTTCTCGGGATCCTCGCCCTTGGCGACCATCATCTCTGGCCTGAATGTATCCTTCGGCTTAGACAACGGCTTGGTTGAGCGCGGAAGCAATGTTGGATTAGTGAGGTAGAAGATGGCCAGTTCCCGCTGGGCTGCAGGGTCGCCTTCCTTCGCCGCGATGTTCCACATTGTGGCCGCGTCCTGCATTGTGTAACGGCTGTACTCCTGATTCTCACCCTTGTTGCCCTTCTCCTTGCCAGACTCTGATTCGCGCTGAATGGCATCCTTGGCCACAATCTCATCTGCGATCTCCGCCATAGTTCTACAGACATCCTGCTTTAACCCGAGAGCTGCCAATCCGGTATCCCAGAATGCTTTCCCAATAGCAGTCCTGTCCAGGATAGAAGCAGGAACGAAAGCGGCGACAAATTGCAAATCACGAAACAACGTTTTGGGCCGGATTTCTGCCTGTCTGAACAAGTGCTGTAATACGTCCACAATCATGTCCGCACTGGGCGCCGCAGTGTGGGTTGGTGAGCGGGCACCGCTTGGTGTCATTAGAGGCGAAGTTATAGCGCCACTGTTCATGACATTCGATCTTCTCTCCTCAAGATTGGCCATTGCCTCCTCAATGTTGCTTGGCTGCGAGAGCTGTAGACTACATATCCGAGAAGAGGCCTCTCCCATAGCCTCCAAAAACGGCGAGCTAGGCATCGATGGAAGCGTCGGTTTGCGTATGCATGAAGGAGACTGGGAAGAAAGAGATGCAACTATGAGAAGCTCTAGCTCGTAGATGGCTTGTAACTTTTGGAATGGGTTGGGGTGAGTAGAGAACTTCATGAGTAACCTCCGGAAAGCATGGCCATAGGGGAACGCCATAAGGCCACCCTTCTTGGCAGCGGAAAGGGTTGAAGTCCGAGCAGTGGCATCGCTAGATGATGAATTCTCCTCTCCAGAATGGGCTTCACGACCAACATTTTCCAAAGTGGCAACTGGTGCTGCCAGCTCTCCCTTTTTCTCCTTGCCTAAAGCTTCGAAAGTGCCAGTGTTAGCAGATTTCCGGACGTTTTTGGTGCTCTTCTTTCTGGCCAGCTTCTTGGTGCCAGACCCGCCATTGTTGTTCCTGGACGATTGTTTCTCCGCCGCCTTTCGCTTGGCCTCTTCCTGCTCCTCCTTCCTCTGGATACACTCATCCCCCAAGCCGCCCGAAAACCATCCGTCTGTTTCACTGCCTTGGCTGAAGACCTCTAGACCAAGGTCGCTCAAGAGAAGACCGGTTAGTGATTGTTTTAACTCTCCTAGGAATTTCCTTTTTTGGTGGTTAACTGTCTCCAAGGATTTGGATAATGAGGTTGGTGAATGTGCGGTTTTAGGCCTGCCAGAACTGGAATTATTGCTATGAGAGGAAAACGGGGACCAATAGGTATTGTGAGTTTCCGACTGCAGGGCCGGGCTAGGCATACCAAACAAATCTTGTCTATCAATGGAATCCATAAGGCCAGCATTGGATTTTGTCCTTCCTTTACCACGGCTGGATGGGAGATCGTGGATAGAGCTGACAAGACTTGCAGACCGGTTCCTACCGAAAATGTCACTGGTACTTGGCCTCCGGAGCATATCCAGACTGCGCTTAACGCGCCCATCCTCATGGTCATCATCATCTCCTGAAACACTTAGTGTCCCCACTCCTGCCAGGTAGAGTTCACCCTTCGGGCGGTTAATAGCCATCTCTCGGTCGTCTCGGGAAAACAGTTCACTCGACCAGAGGACGGGTCCGTCAAGTATCCCATCGCCAACAAGTTTAGTAACACATTTATCGATCTCAAGGCAAAAGCGATGAATCCTCTCTTCCCCCTTGCAAAAATTCTCAACTGAATATCTACTGAGGTACTCGAAAGTCATGCTTGCCTGCTCATCGCTTAGCTTGTTGAGTCCCCCGTGCTCTGTCTGGGCAGCGAGGATGTCGATCAGGGTATCCGATTTCAAAAGCGAGAAACTGCTAGCCGACATTCGGTGGCTGAGGTTACGGGAGGAGCTCTTGGTCTTCGTGTCTGTCTTGGGCCGTTGGGGCATGCTCATCTTCTTCAGGGCTAAAGCGACATTGCGGGCCTCGTCGTAGGCTGCCGAATTGCGCACATCCGTGACATACCACATCTTGTCACGAAGGTCCTTGATCTTGTGCATCATTTCGTCCACGGCGGTTTCATGCCGTTCTTGGGCAAGAGTGAGCCAAACAAACCATGCTTCGCATTCTTCAATCCCGGCTGCCGATCTCTCTATTGAATCGCGAGGATCTCTGGAAAAGATATGAAGTAAGGGGGCATACCCATCACGGTGAAGTGATTGAGGAAGTCTCCGAGCTTGCAATACCGCCCTATGATACTGCTGTGAAGAGACGTAGTCTCCTCTGGCCAAACATTGCGCAGAGGCGGCCTGAAGCATGGTGAAAAGGAGTGAGGGTGGTGTTTGGATACGCTGTTTAGGCTTATCCAGATTGTCCTTGAGAGCAGCACCCCGTGAACGGTCGGGGGCTGGCGCCTTCGATTGACCTGCCGTGATCATCGCTGTTAGGTTGCTCTGAGGATGGAACGGATTACTAGGATCTAGCTTAGTCTCTGGACCCGTTTCGACGATTGGAATGGTTGGAGCACTGGGAGCACTGTTGGCTCTCGCAGCCGATGGCCTATTACTGAACTTGGGATTCTCGGAGACTGGCTCCTCGGGAATTTCAAATTCGGCCACCAACTTCATGACTGACTCCTTAAGTTGATTGTAAGCCCTGTCAAGGCCCGAAACCTCAAGCGGCGCCTCGTCTTCACTATCGCTATTGTGTCCTTCCTCGTCGTCATCTTCGTCATCCTCATCCCAATCCTTCCGCATCTTCAAACTCAGTTCCTTTCCGTCCGGGGAGACGTAAATTACCGCCCACTTTTCAGCGCAGGGATGGCATTTCCCAGAGGTAACATCGGGCCCAAGTCTGCCCATCATCGCCTCGACCGCCGATCTAACCTCCAGGCCAAACTTCTCCAGAGAGTTTGGGTCCGAACTGGATGGGTGGAAGGTTTGAGTGTTGAAAGAAAAGGATGATGGTGACGCCAAAGGAATAGATGCAAGCGACCGTCTGTCATCCGGGAAGCTTGATCGTTCAAGTAAAGGATAAGTCATCGATGCCGATTCACTGGTAACAGAAGAACCAGACCCGCTAAGGACCGAACCCGAACCAATCTCAAATCCGGTATTCGGAGATTTGCCGAATATTTGCCGAGAGGAAGATCTGCTGCCCATGGCTCCTCGGATATCACGTCCTTCCACAGTAGCGGATGAACCGTGAGGATACAACGCCCGATAGAGAGTAACGATATCCGCCGGACACAGCACAATGAAAGGTTGAACTTCTGTTGTCTCTCGGGGAGAGGTGATGGCCTTGGTCGGGAGGAGAACAGGCGTTGAATCGGTGGGATGTGGATTGCGAAATCGGGCAAGCAAGTTCTCAATATGGCCCCGAACCACAGGTTCCACAGGATTATTAGTTTTCCTAAATATACCTGATCAATCATATTTCCCAGGATGAAGAATCCGGAATCAACCTACCAATCACCAAAGACAACACTGACCGCATGGTTGTACATCTTCTTTAAAACTGGTCGCAAAATCTTTAGCCTAGCGTGTTCACTAATATGATGGCCGGTCATAATCCCGTAGTACTGATAGGTCCGTTAGTTGCGTGATGACAAGCCCACAAGGATAACCACTCGCGGTGCATACCTCTGGGTAAGCGATTCCATTGGTCAGGAACCGCTGGAAGAACCACTTCGCCACAAGCGTTATTTCTGCCTGGCGTTTCTTTTTAGGGTCGTCAATCTTCTGCAGGATCGCATGTCCTAATTCGAGGATGCCTTCCGGTATTCCTCCAGCACTGGGATCGTCGTCCAAAACCTCGAGCAACTTCTTCTCCGCTTTAATCCAGAATTCCTCTGCTAGAAGGTCCTGCTTTCCACGAAGATCCGCTTGAGAGCCACCGTTATTCTCATCCACCAGAAAGGAACCTTCCTGTATAAGGTTCATCAAACAAATTTCCAAGTTGGCTTTGGCGGGCCATTCCCGCATTGCTGTCCATGAATCCATAATAACCAATAGGAAAGATTCGCCCTTACTATCGCAAATCAATTTGGCGCAGGTAGTTGCCCAAACATCCGTTCTCCGCTTGTCCTCCGCGGAATCGGGGCCTGTAGAGTTCGCAAATATCGTGTGCAATATGGTGTATAATGGGTCGTTGCGGTGAAAGGCGAGAAGTCGCTCTACCGGACTGGGCATGGGAATTTGAGATGTGGTATTTCTAGAGGCTGCATTGCCACGTCTGGGCACTTGCTGGGGCAGGATAGATTCCTGCGGGTTTGGTTGATAGTGATGCCGGACCAAGCTCTCCAACTCAGAATTCGTGAGACGGGCAAGGCGATTTGCGAGGAATGTTGGGCTAGATCTGATCATTGAAATAAACGAGAGTATAGTATCCCGCGCCTGGACCGGAATCTCATGGAGAAAGGATGTCAATCCTTTGGGTCCCCCATTGTCGTCGGAAGAATTTGAGGGCTTCGCCGAATCCAATTCGGGTTCCAGCATTGCGAACCGGCGCGTCGCCTCACATGAATTTCTGACATCGTGAAGTGCGTTGTAGAGGGTGGCGAAATCCGATTTCTGATCAGATTTGAAGTTATCAACTAATGCTTTATGACAGAGTTCACCGGACCTGGTTAACCGCGCGGAAATGGCACTCAATACTAGTGACTTGTGTAAACGTATCCGGCTCTGAAGATGTTTATGTTCCTGGTAAGATTGGAATTTGACCAGATGCGCTAGCTCGGCAAGTGATGTAGTCTGGCCCACGAAGGCAGAAGGAAGGGAGGAAATGTATGAATCACCGGAAAGCAAAGGCAGCTGGCTAGAAGGAACGGAGGCAGAAACAGGCAAACTGGGCCGGTGCTTCAAGGACGACTGGTGCCGACCTTGGGCTATCGTCATATTTTGCGGAGGTGGAGTAGCAGATGGAGATGGGGGAGCCGATGCACTTGCTTGAGCGGGTTGAGAAGGGGTGGGAGAGGAGGTTCGAGATGGAGGTTGAGGGGGGGCTACAAGACAGAACGAGTGGTGGTTAGCTGATGTAGCAGAAGAATAACGAGAAGGAGCAACAATGCTGGTGCTTGGTATGCCTCTGCCCTGCTTATGCTTTTACTCTGCTTGGTGCTTTTCCCAATGCGTGGGGTGCGCTTCTCCCTTTCTGCCAAACCCGCTGCCACGCTGGCAACGCAGTACAACGAAAACAGGAAAGGCAAGGCACACGCAGGAGGTAACAGAGCCGCGCGGCGGGAATCAACAAAAACAGGACAGGTTCCCTATAATTAAACCATAGAGAGAAGAGATCGGGAGAAGAGGGAATGCATACGAGTAGGCGAAGGGGAGAGAGACTCGGAAACCTTCATGTGTCCATGAGATATGGGGTTGTAACTGCTGTTGAAAGTATGCCGGTACCGAAAAAAAAAAAACTAATAACTAAAAACTAAAAACTAGAAGTTGAGTAACCTCTTTCCCAGGGGCGGGTAAAGTAGTGCAGTTTGCAGTTGAAGTGTAATGTGAGTGAGAGAGCGGAATAGAGGGACTCTCGAAGGATCGATAGATGGAGAAGGGGACAAGTTTTTTTTTTTGTTCCCTCCTTTCCTTTTTCTCTCTGTTTTTCCCTATTTTTCTCGTGGTGGTTGAGAACGATGTGTACGGCAGTGGGTGCAGTGGGGACAGAATGGCGATGGCGAAGATTTCGCTCGGGAGGGCAACAAATGGGCAGGCAGGCAGTACTGAGGTAACTGAGTACAGCGGTAGGGAGCAGTACTATAAAGTTGGGGGGGGGGGGGGTGGAAGGGAAGGGGGAGTGGGTGGCGGGGAAGGGAACGTGAATGGACGCGGGAATGCGAGTGAGAGATGCTGAGGTGGGTTTCTGGTTGCTGCGATGCTGCTGATGCCGGCGGTGATGGCTTGCTGATGCTGTGCCTTCTTCGCCTCCTTCTGATTCCCTTCCTTCCTTATCGTTCCTGTTCCCTCGTTCTTGTGGAGTACCGGTACTGCAACTGGCTGGCTATTGTTATTATTTTCCACTCTCCCTTTACCTATTCCTTCCTTCCGTTCACTGCCGGTGGTTCGCTGTGCTGGTTCAGAAGATGAGGTTGGGGTGGGATTGGAGGAGAGGAGAGGAGAGGAGAGGTTGGTGCGGATATCAATACCCGTAATAATACTGTAATCCCATAGAGCGTGTTCGCAGCGCACCACCCCCACCAGTTAATTCACCCTCTACACCCCCAAAACTGCCCAAGGTTCAACCATTTTGTGCGAGGCCTGCACCTCATCCAAAAGCGAGATGGATGTCTGCTCGAATGTGACATTCCCACTCGCACGCTGTGCATGCTGAAATGTGCTTGGGACCAGATATTCTCAGCCCGGTGAATACGGCAAGGTACTTGTGGTTACTATGGCGGACACGCCGTCGAGGCTGGTACCGCCCTCTGGCTGACCCACCCACCTGCCCCGATCGGTTCCCATGGTGCCCATGGTGTACGACACCAGCAACAAGGCCCCTCCTAGCAAAACTTCAAAAACATATCCATACACTAATACGAATTCGGCAAATTCGGTACGGCCCTAGGCTGGATGGGGCCCGCCAGCGCCTGATACCTCAGTCCCCCGTACTGTACTAGCTGATTTTTAAAGTATCCGGACGCCTTGGCACCCAGTGGCCCTGTCTTGGCGCCAAGGTGTCCGGATACTTTTTAAATCGGCTAGTACTCGAGTACATGTACCAGCCTACCGTAGTATTGGTGGGTTGTACAAGTATTGTACTCGTACTCGAGTACGGTAGATGGCCTCTACAACTTTAGGGTTCACAGAAAACACTGGCAGATTAATTCCTCAATCTCCTCTACTACTCGAGTAGAACACAGTGCTTTTAAAAGTCAAACCACAGAGTTATTCCCTAACTGATTCCCCATCGATACAAGGATCGATATCTGTGAATAGCTGTCATGGTCGAGTATATATATATACATTCCCCATCGAGGCGCCTCCTCCGCACAAATAGCTACAATAGGAGTCGCACACCGGATCGACCCCTCGCTCCCCAGTTTAACGCGACAGGGATCGGAGAGAAAGAGGTGGGGAAGGGTTGGTTGGTCCTCCCATCCAAAAAGTGACAGCAGGGCAAACGGCAGGCATCTGGTCCCCCCAAACTCCTTGGCACTGTCTTGAACTTTCCCACTATTTTCCTGATGACCTCAGCTATTTTTGCCCTTCGAGGGGATGGTGACCTGGGGGTCGGACGGGAAGTGCCCGAGGATTTCCCTTTTCTCCCACGAACCTTGCTTATCCCTTCTTTTCGAATCCCCGGTTGCCTCCGATTACTACTGTAGCTGTTGATGTTGAGAGTTGAAACCCGCAAACACTTGCCTCGAATTAACCCCCATCGGGTGATACGAGCACTGGAGCGCGGATAGTGCAGTCGACCTCAACGTCGGGCGAGAGAGGGAACGAAAAAAAAAAAAAAGAGAACGTTTGACCACTGCTTCAGCCTTCATTCAGCCTTCGGACGTCAAGTGCCCAGATCTTCCCAAGCGGTTTGGTGGCACTCGAGTACCGGTACCGTAGACCCTTACCAGCTCTTTGTGACACCTGATTCCGTTCTGCCACTTGAATGGGGTCGTAACATCTGTAGCCCAATCTATCTCAAGTTCACAGCACCATCTTTCATCATCACCATCGATCTTGACTCCACCCGCCAACACCTTGATGTCGGCTTGAATTCTACTCGGCTCTGTCGGGGGTGGTCGACGCTGTGGCAAACCGCCGGTATCTCGTTGGAGGGAAAAATGCTCAGGGCCATCGTCCTGGACCCGAGTATGCGCCAAACCGTGCCCACCGCTGGACGAGGTCTGTACTGGGTCCCACTCGTACATACTATATCGTGCCCATGACCTCTCCACCCGGCCCAAATTCCAACTCATCCTGACAGCACCGCGGCACCGGTCCGTTAATCATAGCGACCGATCCAGAGGATTGGCTGCCCGGCAACCCGTCTCCATCGCCGTCCTAGCTCATCCGCTACCGGTACGGCAGCTCAAACTACGACAGCTCAGCCGCCATCCAGCTGGCAGATCCATCGGTCGGCCTCCCGAACCGCTCGTCTGTTTTTCAACTCATCCGACAACCGAGCTCCTCACTGCTCGATGCCTAAGCTACCGTACCCGCTTGTCTGCGCTTCGCCTCCCTTCCCTCCAGTGAACCGGGCCAAACAGGGCTCTCATCCGCCGTACCGTGATAACGCACCCCCGCCACAGTTTTGCCTTTCTGTTTCCATCCACTTCCCCTCCCCCCCTTACCCCTCGAAAGGAAAAAAGGGAAAAGGAAAAAACCGGGAAACTATCGCATGGAAAACAATTTTACCTTCCGCGGTTGGACAGCTGTCGGAGTGTGTGTGCCCTCCGCCAAGAAGGGTTTGGCGCAGGATGCAACTGAGTTTGCCAACTCATCAGTGCATACCGATAACATGCACACATTCGCTCAGTCGCTGCACAAGAAAAAGGGTTTATTTATTTATTTCATGGAGGAGGAAAGAAAGAACGGATGTGGGAACGAAAAGAAAGAGGAAAGGTACGGCAGTCAATCCGTAAAAAATAAAAAAAATAAAAAAAAGTTCTTCCATGCATCTTTTCTTCTTTTCTTTTCTCTTTCGTTCTTCGTGCACGTCTTCAGGAAACCGGCTACCGGTATTTGGTTTGACATGCATTGCAATAGTAGGGCGGGGCTTTCTACTCGCTCCTCCCCTTTGTGAAAGTTGCTAGTTTTGGGAGTCTTGCTTGTTTTCAATCTTCTCGTGGGAGGGTGGGGGAGGGAGATGTTGGGGTTTGCTTTGTGTTCTGATACCGTCTTTTGTGTGTTCGTTATTGTTAACGATGTTTCGTGGCAGTGGTTGCTGTGATACGAGCACAGTTGCTCTATGATAGCGTTGCCGCCGTCAAGCCTTGCGAACTATTCCCATGCGGAATACATCCACCTTGGGCGAAAGCCTACTCGTATATGGCGCCTGCACATCAGTGGGATCACCACATTTTCCAATATCCTGTTCCTTCCTCGCAACTCCTTGCAACATCCAAGCTGGGTTGTTTCCGGCCCTCCGGTCCCCTGTGATCCAATGGGTGGGTACAGTAACTATACCAATTTTTTTCCACCTAATATGACGATGGCTGCGGGTATGATAGCTTCAATTAACTGCGGATCAATCAACGCCGATTGACAAAGCGCAATTGGTGAAAACACCTTCCTAACCTTCTTCATGCTTTAAACGCTGCGCTGTTTCATGTATATTTCTTCCCTTCACCATCTCTCCCAGTGGATCGTTGTTGTTGTTGCTTTTTGCTTTTTTTTTTCTTCTTCGCTTTTTCTTTCACTTCTTTCCCTTCCCTTCCCGCCTCCCTTCTGGACACTGATACGACACTTGCGAGTACGGTATACGAGTGCGGGGCATGGCAATCATCTGCTACTTGCAGCTTCTCGTGGGTTCTCCACGGAGTGGGGGAGCATGTCCGTTCGGCCTCATCCCCTCTTTCCCACTACCTCGAGCAGATTCTATACGGTAGGATCCTACCTTCCATACAAACCGAAGGTACACGCTTTCCACCTTATCAAGATCCAGGACCCTCCGGTGTACGGTACTTGTTTGCGTGCGATTGATCCCACCCCTGCAACGCCGACATACGGACAGGACAATCGACAAGTACGAGTACTCAGGAGCTAATTGAAGGTCGCAAAAGTCTCTGTGGATGCTTCGATATATCGAAGCCATGTACCGATTCGTCTCTCCAACCCAGCCCACTACGATACAGGTACCTCAAGGCACATCTCGATAACCTCGGGAACCACCACTCCATTCCGAACCCCTTCCGTCCTCGCGCATATGTCCCCTCCTCCGCCGCTCCAACCACTGGTAAACCCCCCGGCCTTCGCAGAGGAAAAAAAAATACGTGGCAGCCCGAGAGCAGAATGAGGCTATCCTCCTTCCTCACTTCCCTCCACATTACTGGTCCACAGATGCGGTGATTCCGCCAGTCTTGGTCCATTTTTTTCTTTTCTTCCCCCCTTTAAATCCTATGATTGCCCTCGGTGGATCTCCGGGCTAGCACAAGTGATAGCGTATGCCATGCAGGATATAAGGCTGGGGCTACCATCATCGCTGTACGGTATCAACTCCTCTCTCATGGGATTATTTTCGTTCCCTGCATACGAACAACCATTATCCCCACTCCCTCTCCCACGAGAAAATAAGAAGGAAATGTGTGAGCGCATCAGCATGGGAAGACGCTAACCGGAGCGGGCACACTTTACCCAGGCTTGAACATGATTTGACAGTTGAATTTGAATACGCTCATGTACGAGTACAGCACTGTACGAGCCTCACATAATACAAGCAGAATGCCACCTTATTCTAATAAAAGCATCGTAATCTGAATGGACAGCAAAGTTCTTTCTTTTTTTTCTTTTTTTCTTCTCCCCTCTGCTCTTCTCATCCATCAACTAACCCGGTGATGGATGGGTGGATGGATGGGCCTACGTCTCCGCACCATAGATATAGCGTGTCGTCCACAGCACTCTGGTCCGCTCCGATGCCCATCGGGGGTTAAATTCATCCAACATCTGATCTGATTCTTTTTTTTTCCTTTTTTTCCTTTATGTACCCGTACCCTGCTTTCTTCTTCTACCATCCGCTCGTTACCCGTCACGAACAAATGATATTTTCCGTATGGTAACATAGGTGGTGAGATGCTTGCTGGCTTTTTGCAAAAAAAAAGAGAAGAGGAAAGGACGGAGATGTGCTGTATCATATGCACTGTATGCGCTCGATCGATTGATGAGTGGATGGGCCTTTCAATGGGAAGTGTTCGATACCGTAACGGTACTGTACTGCACTCGTACTGGATAGTAGTAGGCACTGTACTGTCCGATTGTACCGGTGGATGGATGGATGGACGGACGCAAGATATCACGACGCCGACCCCTCCCTTCAACAATCTCTATTAGAGGCAGCGGAAACGGTAATCAGAATCTGGTGAAAAAATAAGAAAAAAGGAAGAAGAGGAAGAAAAAAATTACCGTATAAATATAGTACCAGGTACCAATGATGCCATACAAGCAGAACCCCGAAGCCAACCACTAGATTATCGGGGACAGACAGACAAAAGGCAATCAATGTCGACTGCGATAGGCTGACTGGGATGTCAACCGATTAATGGTACGATGATAAATAACTCCCATCATGGCTGGATTTCAGGAGTTCTGCGGTGGCTGAACTATAGTCTCAATACTCGTACCGTAGTGTGGTACCGTACCGTGCTTGTGTAATAATATGATATAAGTTACCGGTACAGAAGATTGGCGGCAGGGGTCCAGCAACGTTTCCATCCTCCAAATGGCAGACAGAAGGAGGAGAGGATTTTTGTGAAACAACTCGGGCGTTTGGATAGGTTCCTATGATTTTTTTTTTCGGGAAAAAGGGAAAGTTGAACAAGTTAAGCAATATCTGAGGGACTGCTGTAGTACTCGTATTGGGGGTGGGGGTGAAGTCGTCACAAGTGATTTTCTCGGTCGCCTTGGCATACCCAAGCACCAAGAATAAAAGTTTCTAAGTTGATGGTATACGGTACGAGTGCCAGGCAAGGTGTTTTTGTGCAATTATAAATCGAAAAGTTTACGCTCTGCTCCGCATGTTACTTTTATGGCATATTTTTCAGTATATTCAAGTTTTTATATACGGGTGTGTTTGGTACAGGGCATCAAATGATAATATTCTTTTATTGAGTTGATAAATATTTATTCGGTATATTTATTGTAGGACTAGGTTCAGGATCATGAAATTGGTAGGAATAGTGTCTAAGTGAGGATATGGTTTCACATGACTAGGGATTCCAAGTCATAGGTATGGTTCAAGCACTTCAAAAAAATTTTTAAATTTTTTTTAATTCATACGTTTATTGATTCTGGCTCAGAAACTTACATGTACCTCGTGGTATGGCAATATCATAGAAAAAACCATAATTTTACATGGATAAACAAAGGATAACATATCTCCAGCCCTGCCTCCTACTGCTAACAAGCCACAGGCCTCCCAACCTCCTCAGACCTATAAAGGATAGACCCAGTGATTAGCCTCATTTTGTGTTAATATAGTTCCTTGTATAGTGTAAGATTACTAACAGATAAGAGACGACACCCAATACACAAACATTGGACCCATATAAGGTAAAGTACAAACCTCTAACAGGCTTTCAACCTGAGAGGTAACACAAAATATAGCAGCGCATATACTGATGCAATAAGAAAAGAAAAGAAATCAAAGCCCTAAAAGAAACCAAGGTTAGGTGGTAGACATATCTACCTTGTCATCAATATCTTTCCTGTCCCCTAACAGGGGTGGCTGGGAGTGAAGGGGGTAGGTGTCACAAACGGTGACTAAGCAAGGCAGATTTCACATAGCTCGGAATTCCAAGCTATAGGTATGTTGGGATCTGTTAAGAATCCTACCGGGTAGGACCTAGCTACAGGTAACGATACTTCTCTGTAAGGTGATAGCTCTCAGGTCTATACCTACGCGATCCCGATAGTCTAGTCCTTTGACTACTATCATCTTCGCACCTATCTTCTTATTTTTCTTCTTAGTCCTCACTCAGGACTTAGTCGTTCGACGTGGGAGGAGAAATAGTTTTCTTGCTTGAGAGGAAAGACAATTCTCGGGTTTCTTAAGATAAATCTTAAAGAGCGTAAAGGTAGGTTTTATTGATAATAACTTAAAGGTAGGAAATAAACAAGAAGAACGTGTGAAGAGCTCATACTCGGGGTCCTAGTGACCCTTTATATAGTCGCACTTCTCCTGGCGTGACTCATACCTCGTGTCACGCGAACCCTGTGACTCATATCCCTGAGTCATATGAAATCCATCAGACGACTCCTATGAGTTGCTGCGCAACATACCTAAACCAATCAAAACATAATAACCAAATCAGGTGCGCAACTCGCGTCACCTGAGTGAAACCCATGACTCATAAGTATGAGTCATGTGCGAAAATCATAACATCGTGTGACTTACAAATGTGAGTCACGAACAGGTAAACATAATAACCTATGGCGCACTAGTGTGCATCATGTGAAATCCCAACATACCTATAACTCGGAAATCCGAGCTATGTGAAATCTCCCTTGCTTAGTCACAGTTTGTGACCTTAGCTCCCCTCTCCCTCAGCCCAAGTCCCATCGGGCTTCAGTCTTCTATTCCCTATCTTCTTCCTTCAGGTAGCGGATAGTACCTATTCGCTCCCGTGTTCACCCTGACCACCCTGGCCAGAGTTTTCCTTGCTTCCCTCTCTTCTTTTCTCCAGTTGTTCTGGAGAGCCTTTCTCATATTTCTCTCTCCCTGCAACTCCCTCGTCAAATTGTCGTTGCTCCACCTCGTCCTCTCCAGCTCCTTCTTGAGCTCCTCTATCTTTTCCTCCTGATATTCCAGCAGCTTGCTGGTTTCGACCTTCTCGGCTAACCACTTCATTTTGATCTCCTTCGAGGTCTTGGGTTCCATTTCTTCTTCCATCTCTTCTTGCCAGGAAACCTGCCTCGATTTCCTGGGTCTCACCCATCCTTTTTGTTTTTTCGGCCCCCTCCTCCTTGATTCCGTCCACGGAGTCGGTTCGATGTATTGTACCAGATCCACTGGCTCTGGTGTGGGGGATTTCGTCGGCGTCGGGGATCTCGTTGGTGATCCCAGAGGCGAAGTCTTGGGTGGCCATCGGTTCTTCTCCCGAGGCCGGTATCCTGAGCCTTCTTTCTCGCTTTGGTGCACTTGGCACCCGTCGTTGTAGCAACCTGTCCATGACAGGTTCGCGTGTTCCCTTTGGGTAGTGGGAGTCTCGTGTATCGGTAGGTCTTTCAGATTTATCCAGTCCTCGGGGTTGTATTCCATCTCGTCCTTCGTCTGTTCAGGGCTCGGGGTGCGGTATCCCGGGCTGGTCGGCGTGATGTATTTGAACGCGTCGCGTCCTGGTAAGTGTTGTAGGGTTGACGGCATCATCATCGCACCTCTTCCTTTGGGATATTCCCACTGGTAGGAGTCTGTGCAGCGTAGTGGCGGGGCCACATATTCGGATTCGGGTGCGTCTTCTACCGTTGTTTGACTGCTTGCTGGGGTATCGTTGATGGAATTGGTTGACTGCATTTTGTGCGTGATCGAAGTTCTCGGCTGGGTACCAAGTCCTATCGTGTTCTGAAGAGTATCCAGTCCACTTTGCTCGGTATTGCACGCGACTGTAGTATGATCGAGAGTTGATGATTTCTTCAAGTTCGTATTCTGATTCACCATCTATCTCAATAGGCGGTGGGGGTGGTTTTTCTTGTTAAGGTAGGGGGTTGTCTTGGTAAAGTTCGAGTAGGCTAATGTGGAAGGTGTTGTATATTTTCATTGACGGTGGGAGGTCGAGCTTATAAGCGCGGCTTCCTATTCTTGCCAATATCTTGAATGGTGCTATTTTTTTGTAATCCAGTTTTTTCGTCGGTCGTGTGGTTCGGATGTTGCGTGGTAGTAACCAAACCATATCTCCTGATTTTAGATTTGGATCGGGTTTTCTGTAGCGATCGTAGTCTTCCTTCTGTCGTAATTGTGCCGCAACCATTTCGTTTCGCAATGTATCGTGTAGTTGACTCATATCCTTTTTGTCCGTTATCTTTCCTTGGAGCATATGACCTATGGTTTCGTATTCTGGATGTGTGTCATAATTTGCGAAGAAAGGAGTCGTCTTGATTGTTTCTTGTTTTCCGTTGTTGTAGGCGAATTCGGCTAGTAGTAGCCAGTCGTACCAATCATCTTGTTGGTAGTTGACGTATGCGTGGAGATATTGTTCTAATATGCCGTTGATTCTTTCCGTTTGTCCATCCGTCTGGGGGTGGAAGGCTGTGCTCATTCGTCGTTCGATTCCTAGTTTTTCCGTTGTTTCCTTCCACACTTCTGAAGTAAATAGTGATCCCCTATCGCTAATGATGTCTTTGGGTAACCCGTGTAGGCAGTATATTTCTTTTAGGAATATGGTTGCAAACTGCCGTGCCGTCATATCCGTTTTGCATGGTATGAAGTGACTCATTTTGGTCAGGTGATCTACTACCACTAATATGGTGTCATGATCGTTTGACTTGGGTAATTCGGTTATAAAGTCTAATGATATAGACGTCCATGGTTTTTCTGGGGCCTCGTTTGATTTGAGTAATCTGTAAGGTGCATGTTGTACCACTTTGATTCTTTGGCATGTGTCGCAATTCTTGACATATTGTTTGATGTCTTCTCTTATCTTGGGCCAGTAATATCTTCGGTTGATGTATTCGGTAGTTTTGGTGGTTCCTCTGTGCCCGGCATATGGAGGGTGGTGATGGTATCGTATGATTTCCGTGCGTAATTCTTCTTTGTTTGGTATCCAGATTTTCCCGTCGTACCACTGGTAGTTGTCTTTCCATCGGCACAATCCTAAGGCTACCCCTTTGGCTTCCATGATTCCTTGTACCAGTTTTTCCTTGATGTCTTGGATTTCCTCGTCTTGTGAACTTTCTTTCTTGATATCTTCTTCCAATGTTGTTCATGTGTTGATTTCGTTCAGGGACTCATATCCACTGTCTTCTTCCTCTGATTGAAAATATTTTTCTTTTGGTAACAGTATTTGTTGTTTCTGTTTGATTCTTTTATCTTCTGGATCTTTTGGTTTGTCCGCTGATCGTCTCGTCAAGGCATCTGGGTTTCCTCCTTCTTTTCTGGGGCGGTATTCGATCTTGAAGTTGTAGGTGCTGAGCTTCTCCATCCATCTTATCTGTCGTCTATTTAACTCCTTTGTTGTCATGAAGGGTACCAAGTTCTTGTGGTCCGTGAGTATTTTGACCGGTGCTTGATTGTTTTGTGTGTATCTTCTCTATTCCTTTAGTGCTTGAACTATTGCTAATAGCTCTTTGTCGTGGACGTCGTAGTTGCATTCCGCTGGGGTCATTGTTTTGGATCGGAAAGCCACTGGTCTCCATTTGCCATCCTTGCATTTTTGAGAGAGTATGCCTGAGCATACGTATTTCGAGGCGTCTGTCTTGATCATTGTTTCCTTCCTTGGGTCGAAATGTACCAGTATTGATCCTTTGGTAATCTTGGTCCTGAGTTCGTCAAACGCTTCTCTTTCTTTGATGCCCCACTCCCATTTGACATCCTTTTTGGTTAGGTTATATAACGGTTTGGCTGTTCGGCTGAAACCCTCTATAAACATTCAGTAGAAATTGCAGAATCCCATAAAGCATTGGATATCTGTTTTGTTCTTTGGGTATTCCCATTCCCATATGGCTTTGGTTTTAACTGGGTCCATCTGGACCCCTTCACCATGGATGATGAATCCTAGGTATTCGGTTTCATTTTTAGTAGAATTCGCATTTGCTGGGTTTGCACCTCATTCCTGATTCTTTGATGTCAGCCATTATGTTGCAGACGTCCTTTTGGTGCTGTTCCATATCCTTGGAGTATATTAGTACATCGTCTAGGTAGACGATGCAACATATATCCAAGTACTTGTGGAGTACTTTGTTGATCCATCGTTGGAACGAGGCGGGTGCATTGGTTAGTCCGAATGGCATAACCAAGT